TTTTGTATGCTATTATTTCATGTTTATATGGTAAACCCTTCAGGAAAGGCAATGTCTCATGGCCTGCTTTTGTGCAGTATCTGTCCCTTTAGGGTGTCCAATATAACCAGAGCATCTAACAATTACTGGAATTTACAGGCTATGTAATAAGAAAACAAGTCCATAAGTGCTAATTTAGAATTTTCTGCTGATTCCCCAGAAGGGTGTCAACTGTGTCAAAGAGCGGTCAGGAATTCACTCAATCCTGTCCATTATTTTTGCTGATTTATCATTGCTGCTCCTTGCTGCATGTGTCAGGCTTACGGAGACTCCCCCTCCCCCAAAGAAGTCTTTCGGTGCAAAGTGAGACAAAATGTAGGAGGGATTTGCTTTAGGCACCTAACCTGGGGCTAAGCCAGCCAGATAGACTCCCTCTGTAGTCCACAGAAAAGGAGGTTTTGGGACCTCCAGTCTCTGGCTGCTCTTACACATTTTTGGAGGAATGTCCCACTCTCCACTGGCTGCAACGGCCAGTTTTCAACCAGCTTGGCAGGGTTTAGGTCTATGCGTCACAGGCCCCTCAAAGCTTCTGCCCTTGCAAAGATCTCTGCCTGCTGTGGTGGATGATTTGGTTACTTCTCTTCTAATTTCTCAGGTGATCACCACAGGAATGAGCCCAGGGCATCAGCTGGTCAACTTAGGTGCTTGTAGTTGGTGATGTTAACATGCTCCTGGCATGGCACGTGGTACCTCACCATCCTCATCTTCTTTGGGGCTGGCTGAAGGCAGCATCCCCATGAGATAAGGATAAAGGGTGATAACACACCCGCAGTTGTATCAGTTTACAAAAATGACAGGCACTGACACAGAGGCTTTAGTTGTGATAACCATGGTTATGAAGGTCTTGGCAGAGACCGTCCATTCTCCAGACACAAACTCTCCTGTCTTTTTCTCCCAGCCTTTGGATAGGGTCCATTGCCATGGTGGCTGCGAGCTGCACCGCTGACCCTGATGGGTGGGATAATACAGCTTTCTGAGTTGGCATTCTGCCCTTTGGGTTGGCAGGATGAAGCAGAATGCCTCGTGTAGGCTGGGCAGCAGAAACGTGCTTTGCTGCAATTTATTCCTCTCTCATGCTTGTTTACACCCTTAACAATTTAAGCCCTGTCCTTTATGGCATAGATTATGCTTAAATTACGTGGGATGGTTATGAGGAAGCTCTAGGCAGCACTTATCTGGGATGCTGTAATTTTTTCCACAAAATAAAGGACTTCAAAGCACCTCTGTGTGATTAACATGTTGAAGATAGAGTTCTACTGTAATAAAGTTAATGACATATTGCTGCAGTTTTAGGTCTTGATGATGAGTAATAGTTTCACTTTAAAACATGATCTCCTCCTCCTAAGCAGACCCTTCATAGCTCTGCAGGTTGTTTTCTGTGCCATAAAAGACAATTTTTTTTCTGCTACACTAAAATCAAAATCTTACATTTATGAACCTTCTGGTCTTTGCAGTGTAAATTTGTTCTATCAATTGAAAAGATACCTCTACATAAAATCTGGGCTCAAGTTGTTTAAAAAACAGTTTGAAAGCCAGCCTTGTAGTGTGCTATATTAAGCTCTCCTAATTAAACATACATAGCACAAATGATATAAGCTCTCCTCCAGTGATAATTTTGCTCGTTATTTCATTGTGTAAAGAAGTTGTAATTCTCCATAGAAATGGAGAGTCCACAGATTTATTTAGTCTCCAGCTCTACTTCCAGCTGGAGGATTTGGATTTCTTCAACACATTGACCAAGGAATTCAAGCCAAAATTTAAAAAATCTAATGAGGAATTTTGCATGCTTTCTTCGGAAAGAAACGTTTTGTGTTGTCAGCTACCACTGGGGATCATAAAGAAGCCTAAGTCAGTTGTCAGATGGATATCACACCGTATGGGGCTCAGAACTAACAACTAACCCTAAGAAAGATAATTATGGCAGTTGAAGGAATGATCCAAGCAACATCATCTGATTTGCAAGTAAATGAGATAATCACCAACAAATAAATCTTCTAGCCTCCAGGCAGCTGGAGGAATTGTATAAAAGCACTTGGAGCTCAAGGCTGTTTACCTGCTTCTTCTAACTTTCTCTCTTCAGTGGATCAACTGAGTCTGATTGGGCTTATTCTTTTAACTGTTACATCTTCAGTTTTGGTGTAAAGCTTTGTTACTCTCAGAATTGCTATAGCTGTCTGCTATAAACAAGTCTCTACTGCAAGCAGTCTATTGTGGGCTTTGACAGATGCGGATTTGGGGAGGTAAAACTTGGGACTTAAAGACCCATATGGGTTTTAGACACCTTTCATTGAGAACATGGGAGTCTAAATTCTCTCCTCTACTTTGTACAGTCTTACTACAGAAATACTTTGATACTGGAGATTATTTTTTAAGATGGTTATTTAGCTAGATTCTCATCTAATCAAATGTTCATTCTTTCATACACAGCTACGAAGTTTAAAATTTTAACCCTTTTTCCCCTTTTATGCATACACAGATTCATGTCTCCTGGGCATGTTTAAGGTCTGGGTAGGTGGAAATACAGAAAGACTCATTTTTCAGGATAAGGCACAATTTTGTCCTAGAAAAATAACTCCATAATTGAGCCCACCAGCACTGAGTATTTTTTACAGAAAATTAAAAGAAACTAGAATGTCTGTAAGTGAGAAAGCAGTAGGCTAGGCTGAGCCTGGGTCTAATCTCAAATAGCAGCTTTCCCCTTCTTTATAGAACAAGCCATTTTAGCTCCAGACCCTGCCAGATACCATTTACCATTGTATTTGTGCTAATATTTGTTGTAGTGGCTTTCTTGACCACAAATATTTCTGTGAAAGGACCTTATTCTGTATTTAATCTGCATCTTGAGGCAAGAGGATGCACTGTAGTCCGTGCCCTGAGGGACACAGGAACTCACCTGGTAAATACATCCCACGTGAGAGCTCCTGAGGGCAGGCTCCTGCTTCTGCACTGGCTCCAGGCACGACCACAGAAGTTTCACACAGTTGTGCTTAGTTAGTCCTTCTGCCAAGCTCTGAAGTAGCCAGAATTTCTAACAATATTTTGAAACAGAAAGAATCAGGTCTATCTTGGAATTAGGATGAAACCTGTAGAAACCTTTTCCATTTTGCATTTTAGGCTTTTGGCATCTTCTGTTTATACTTTCCCACCTATGCCTTTATCAGACTGTTCCTGGGGATAGGCTGGACGTTCAGTGACAAAAAGATCTGTGCACTGCAAGTATTGAGGTGTCCTCAATACCCTTGAGGTTAAACAATATTCAGTTTAACGTGTCATAGGCATTTGTACATTGTTTTGTGGCCTTCCACAGCACTACGGTACAAGAGTAATGGAAACCTCATTTGCCTTAGTATGTCTGCTTTAAAATGAATATATTGTAAAGGGGTAAAAATAGGACATACAGCTCAAATTACACAGCTGTAATAAGGAAAGCAGAAACTGTCATATCAAATGCATGACTTATTATCACAAACTTTGTGATACAAAGTGTCTGTCTTTATTCCCTGTGTTATTGCAACTGTTAGCTCTGCTTCTCAAGCCTCCTAAAAGCCATATTGGATAGCACTGACCTGGTGTTCATTCCACCTCAGTTTTCCTCTTACCTCTGTTTCAATGAAGACTTCTCTTCCTTCTGAGCTCCCTTATTTCTCTTCCAGATGTTAGAGTAAGTTTCTAGTAGTCACCAAAAGGCAGTTTTCTTCCAGTCACAAGTACACCATTACTTTGGAAAGAAGAGTTTCGGTCCTTCAATTTTAGCAAAAAAGAGAATGCTTTTAATAGCCAGAGAAAAATCATGCTACATACATACCCACAGTACACTGCCCACCACTGCTTTCATGCTGTTTGGGTCCAGCTCCATGAAGAAGCTGAAGCCAGGGCTTTCCCAGGATGGAAATGGAAGTCTACTCCTAGTACTGGCATTTGCAATTAGCAGAAGACTTAAAGCAGCAAATACGCTTTTAAAATGTAGTGGAGATACTGAGGGCAACTCCTTTCTCTTTGTAAGTTAGTGGGAGGATGAAGATAACCTTTGATCCAACAATCTAGCATGATTGTCTAATCCCACCCCTTTCACCACAAATCCCTACGGAAGATGTCCACATCTTGTGGATAACTGGACAACACACAAACAACAACCAGGACACCTTGTCCTTTGCTGCTGATTAACACCCAGAGGAGCCTGAGTCTCAAAAGAGGCATCATTTTAGCATCATTGTCCAATAGTTTTAAGCTGAGGAGAAAAGGAAACCAGAAGGCAAATGTCGTGATGCAATATAAACTTTAATTGAAACAGGACAAGGACTTCATAGCAGCAGAACATAACAATCCAGAGAGTACAGAATACATCTGCAGGGTTTGCTGGGGATGAACGTGGCTGTCTTCTTTGGGAGCTGCAGTTCGTAAGACGATCTTCTGTCTTTGTTGCACTTGCAGCATTTGAGAGTTGAGTTTGGTTTTCACCTGTTTGTTTGGGTTGGTTTTGTTGGGTTTGCTTTTTTTTTTTTTAAATCCCAGACTATGTGAAACAGGGTAGGTCCAAGAATCAAACTGGAGCTTTGAAAAGTTTTTCCACTATACCTCAAAAGCCATGAAACATCAGTCCATAAGAGGCCAGAATATACAGGATCTAATTTGCACTGACATTTAATCTTCTATAAACCACTTGAATTTGAACTAAGGCCTTTTCTATATCTGTCAAGTAAATGGCCCCTCAAACACAGAGCTGGGATCTTGTTAGCAGATACCTCATCCAACAGGAAAGGAAATAGAGTTCCTGGGCTTGTTTCTCAGGGCGGCTGAGTGTGCCCAGCTCCTGAGGACCCCCACTGCAACCCCGTACGCTGCCCCTCTGAAAGTCATGTCCCTCTGCTCACTCACGGACTGGGACTTTGTTCTGGTCCCTGCTGGGTCCAGCTTCCCAGGGAACCACTGCAGGACTTAGCAGGGCCCACAGCTCCCACTACGGTAAGTCGTGTACCTGCGGGAATAGCAGGGGTAGGAGAACCTTCCACCCAGGAAGGTGCCGGACCCAAAGGAGCTCTGGGCATCCAAGGAGCTCCCGTAGCCAAAGGAGCTGCCTATTTCCAGCGGGGCTGAGGTGCCCACAAAGCTCTCCTGAGGGCAGGTGCTGAGGATGGGGCCTGGGAAGACGATGGCCACGGGCGGTGGGTAGACCACAGCACGGGAGTCCCCACAGGAGGTGACGCAGGGCTCGTTCCAGGCATTTGCGTATGGTGGGGGGCAGCTCACGTCGCAGGGCGAATAGCTGCCATAATTGCAGACCTGCCTGTAGGAAGACATCTTTCTGGCTGGAAGTAAGCCTGAAACACATAGGGTGGGGAAAGCATGGGTCAAGGGCAACAGTGCAGGTGCGTTTGCAAAGGGGAACCCTCATTTATTCAAACCATACCATATTCAGAAAGTTACTGTTCTACAGCACAGCATAAAGTACGATTGCTATTCATATGCAGAAATAATGAAGATTAGATAACTTGTTAGAAGTCAGCAAAGCCTCATTAAGGACAGATGAGGATTAACCTAGTAATATTTGTTTAAAACTGTTCCTAAAACTATTGTCATCTGCAAAGCACTCCCAGGCACAGATAAAATCATGAAGCATTCTTTCTCCAAAACATGCAAGTATCTCTTGAAGCCCCATGCTCTCCATATAAACCCCATAACTTCCAAAGCCTGCCAAGCTGAAAGAAGTTACAGAAACATTTTTATGAAAAGAACATTCTTCCAATAACAGGCAAAGACATGTTAGGTGCTCAGACATAAGTACACTAAAATTCCTATTAAAGCGGCTTTTAAACTCATAGAACAGAATTAACTGAAGTCAGACTTACTCAGTTCACCACCAAGGAGAAGCCAAGAAGAATGGTTTGAAGAGCTCTGTGCTCCAAACACTTTTATACGGTTCCTCAGAGCCGGTGCAGGGTCTGAGCCATGCTTCGGGCATGCGGTCCTTCCTAGTTACAAAACAAACTTTCCTGCATTTATCACGTCAACGGGTGGAGGAATCTTTGCATATTGTTTGCTGTTAAGCAATTATTAGTTGAATTGTATCACATCCATGTTGAAAGACTCTACAGAAATCTTTCATCTCAAAATAGGGACAGTATTCACCCTTAGTTTCTTTCTACTCATCGCAGAAATCAACTTCCTCCTTCCACTTGTCCAAGCTTCAAAGCACACAGATCAGTAGAACAGAGGACTGCTGATTTGACAAAATAGACTTTTTAAAAAATAATGTATTGACTTTTTCATGCTTGGTGTAAAGGTTTTCAAACCTTTCAGTTGCAAAGGGAGATGAAACTTGGAGACCTTTATACCACCTTGGCAAGACCTTTCTGCTCCCCTTTTATTACCCCCTTTTTCCTCAATAGGTTAAAAAAAAAAAAAATCTATAGACCACAGCCCTCAGGTGCTTCAGCTGTGGTGACCATCCTGTTTACAGAGAAGCAGCTTTGTGATATAAGGGCCTTTCTGATATTAATAGTGAGTTTCTACAGCCTGTTTTGAAGGGGTGGTGGAGAGAAGGGCAACGGGACTTACATGCTGCAGAAGTCTTCTTATCCCACTTCATTCCTGGTGAATATTATTATCTATTGACCTAGTTAAAAACAATATGAAAAAGGGCAAGGAAACCTTTGCCTAGAAATGCTAGGAAGGAGTTAGCCTCATGCACGAGTTATTCCAGAATGTACTGCTTTTAATAACTCCTTTGTTCTGAAACATCACGTTGGACCCTTTCAGACAGTGGATCCTGGTCTGGCTACGTACAGGAGTTTGTAATAAATAAATTTAAACTGGAAAAATTGTACCCAGCTCCTCACCTGATGTAACAGGCCACAGATCAGTGAGGGGTCAAATGCTGGGGTCCTCCTGCACCTATGTTTAAATGTGATGATCTTAAAGGATTCATATGTCAAAAATATTGCTTACAGCATTTAGTAATTGGAGAGTTGAGTTAGATTACACATGATGATTCCCTCTTGACAGCAAAACTCATTTAAGGAACCCTGTCCCTGCCCTGCTGTGAGCTGTAATCTGCACTCCTGTGGATTAATCAGGCAGGATGGAAATGCTCTGTTTTCTTTGCTATTTATTGTAAACATAGAGATTGCCCTGGTCTTGCTCCTGAACCTCCTACTAGGGAAACTGCAAGATGGAAAACAGAAAAGAACATCAAGTCTAGACCCAGGGCAAAGTAAAGATGTCCCGGTTAAGGCACAGTGGTCTGGAGCAGATTTCCAGTGTAACCTTTGCCAAGACTTTGGGGAGAGGTTTTTAGATGCCCTCGTTATCCTGTGTTCATTGGGGCGAGGACAACCTGCCCTCTGTGCTCGCTGCAGGAGGCTCTCTCCAGCAGGGACAGTAATCCTTCCTTTCACCATACCTAAAACTAGTTTGTTTCGTTTATTGGTTCCTGACAGCAGTGACTGTCTGAGCTCTCTGTTTTCATGGTATCTGGGCGCCAACCTCATTTACATAAGCTAGGAGATAATAGAATTATAATTATAAATAATAACACTAACAAGTACAAGACATGCCCGACATCTCCTCCCAGAGGCTCACTTAATTGCCAAGAGATGTTTGGTAAATTATTTGGCCTCTGTCTTAATCATCTCTTCTAGAAATCATCAGTAGTAATCTCCCATTTCATGTGGGTGTTACACAGGCTTACACAGAGCAGTATTCTACCTGCTGGGGAAAATGCTTAATATAGCACAAAACTGTAAAAGGGAGAGCTTAACTTGGAGGCAGAAGAAATCAGATGAGAATTTGGCTGTGGTGTGCACCCAAAATATGCAGTGATCCATGAGATCAGTTTAAATGAAATGAGTTTCATGGGCAAAACCCCAAACCCCCAGGATCTGTCAGACCTGGAAGGCAGTAGCAGGGAGTCCTCACACTGGACTCTCCAAGTCTTGCAACACATTCACCTTGGTCCTGTGAAATACCTCTGGAATTAAATCCTTAAAAAGCCAGATGGATGACAGTCAAGGTTGCCAATGCAACATTAATGGTCACCTGAGTTAGGGTCTGCTCTCAAAGGGATGGTGGAAGAACGAGGGGTGGTGAAGGATGTCTATAAACTGGTCATCTAGAATTTTTTTCTTTCTGTTTACAAGGCAGATACTACCCTATGGAAGTGACAGTGAAACGTGACCATCTGCAAGTCTTTAAGATGCACACTGTATAACACATACCCATGCTGCCACGACACTTGAAGGTCTGAGGAGCATGCAGGGCCAAGCCACAGTTCCTGCTGCTAGAGTGAGCATGGTAGAGTGGCAGAGCAGTGGGGTATGGGAAATAATAAACCTGTATTTTCCGGTTTCTAGCACATGTCTTGTTGGCTCAGCATCTTTGGGAGGGCAGGTCTACACCAGACAGATGTCTCCTGAGCTAGGAGTGACCAGTCTCCGTTCTAAAAGTAAGGGGCAAGGAGAGCCTGGAAGGCACGGGCATACTTCAGGATCCAGCGTACAGCAAAAGGATCTCTATTCGCTCCTTGCCACAACAAGTTCACAGAGGCGTTTTCTCCTGAACAGAGAAATAAGTGCCTCTTGAGACAGTAAGCCTGATGAGGATTACTGACTTCTTCCTCTCCCGAAGTGACAGTCAAAATCTCTGATGGCCTGACTTGTGCAGTCTTGAAAACACTAAGTTTTCCACATGCTGAAGTGCATGAACTCCTGGCGTAGCTGGGCTTAACTAACCACATTGTTTCCATGCTTATCAGCAAAGACAAAAATCACAAGCTGCAGCAGGCTGCAGCCTTGTTCTAAGGGGTCAGCATGCAATACAGCCTTGGAGACACAAGACAGCAATGCCGAGCTTAGTGTACTGCAGAGATCGTGGATATGGTGGTAGAACTCCAGCATCTTCTCAAACAGAGGTTTGTCAGACCTATTGTTCCCTCTATGTCCTATCCCATGGGTGATGTTTGTCCACCTCCTAAAAGTCCTGCAGTACATGGATCCAAACACACTCAGGGCGCTATCCTGGGGCATACATGTCATTGTGATGAGCAGCAAAACATAGGCAAGTGGGATGCACGTCTGTCTTTTGGACACCAACCGTGGAGCAAATCCCACCGGGAAGTGCTTTGAGCCCAGTCTTGCTGGGACCTCGCCCTGCACAAAGCTGTCTGCCAGGCAGGTGCAGGTGTGGCTTCCCCCAGACGGAGACTACGCAGTTAGGAATGTAGTTCTCACTTTAAAAGACAGCATTTTCACAACACCCCTGCAGTCTAGGTGGTTGTTACAGGAAAGACAATGGAGACATCACAGCAAACTGTTTGTCTTCGCATCAGTTTCTGATTCAGAGGAGGAGCTGGGAAGGAAAATACAGGTGTGCCTATTCCTGCTATCGTTACAGTTAGAATTTGGGTGGGTTTTACGTTCAGCAGCAGGTCCTGCCCTCCCAGGCCAGAGGAAAGGCAGAAAACCTGTCTCCATCCAGAAGAAATAAAATAAACATGGAAAGGAAAACCAGTGGGTCGTACAATTTTACAGAAGCATCACAAAGGGCAAGGAGAAGCTACTGATGCAGCCAAGCATTGCACGCACTGGGCATATACGCATATGCACTCGTAGGAGATGGTCTGTCACCATTAAGTCCACAAAGATCACTTAAGAGAGCAAGAAATTCTTTCAGGATGAAGCCAGAAGTAAGAAAAGAGCAAAGCAGACCATTCAAAATCCCAGCAGTCTGCACCTCCATCACCTTCCTGCCTTGTGCTAATTCTATTTTTGTTTTGTTCTTCACTGTTTATTTTTCTACCCTGCATTTCCTTCAAATACTTTGATGAAATCAGTGAAAGAGAAAAGAAAGAAAAAAAAAAGAAAGAAAAATAAGCAAAGAACATGGGTTATTTGTGCAGGGACATCTCTTTTTCTCCTGCCAGTCCACAAAACCACAGCTCACTAGAGGGCAGGGACAGGACTGTGGCCACTGGCTCCCTGCTTAGATTTACTCAGTGCAGCTGAACCACTCTGGCACTTTGAAGATGTAAATAATATTTCCTGCTGTGTAATCCTTAGCCATCTTTCCATGAAACCTCTGGAGAAATAGTGCTTAGACGCACATTTTGATACAGGTTTCCTTGTTCATCTCTCAGCATCAGCTAAAGATCTACGACATGGGTCACACATCTCATGTCTCTGACGTTTTCTTTTTTCCCCAGACAGACCCTGAATTGTTACAAGCTGCCTATGCCCACCTAACGCCCCTGAACTGCCTCTGATTCTTCTGACCAGGGTACGGGTTTTAAGTAAAAAGTAAAACAAAAAGTCTGGCGAAGTTACACTACAAAATGGCCACACAGAAACCCTTCATGCTCTACATATGTAGAAAATTCAGCTGTGGTGTGAGGTGTCAGTCAACTGGTAAAGTCTGCTGAGAATACTCACAACCTTATACCAAAGCAGAGCGTAGAAATCTAAGGTCGCCTACAGCAAAATGCTTTCAGATATATGAATTATGAAACTATTTAAAGATTATTAATAAAGATTAACCCATGTGAAAATAAGAGCAATGAGGTACCCTAAGCAATCTTCTGCTGTTGTAGAAGTCCCTGCCTAATAATTTATAAACACATTTTCACAGACTGTTTCAAGTTGAAAAGGCAGAAAAGGCTTCTCTGGAGATAGACTCATGCCAAACTCTTAAAAGAATCATGGTTTTCGCAGAATATAGTTAACAATTAAAGCTGCTCTTCTATCTGCATTTCAATACTTGTGAAACTATTGAGTAAATTTAATCTTAGCCAAGTTAACAGGGATCATATAATAAGAGGAGCGTCCAGAAAAAAATTGACAATTGAGCACTATTTTCCTCTTCCTTAAACTCCTTGTGTATGTGAAACAACCTTGCTCATGAGGACCTGCTGTTTTACCAACTGATATTTGTTGCATATTCAGCTCATTTTGATGATGCAAAACATTTTCTGACTTATCCTAATTACTATGGTGTTCCCTGCTTCATCATGTTGTTACACAATGCTACGTCTCATGGTTCGTTTCCTTTCAAAACTTCAATGACCAGGTCCTTCCTGGTATCAATCCGCTGCCTTTGTTGGTTTTGGGTGGGAATGAATCAAGCTCCTTTTTTGTGATTGTTTGACTTTTACATCCTTCTCCATCTTAAGTAGTATTAGGCACCTGGCTTCATGGTCTATGATGCCACAATAAGGTCTAGTGGAATTTATTGCTGTAATTCATTACTTGCTGAGAGTCTGTGAGCTGAATCCTTTGCACCCCCCCCCACATAACTGGCCACTGTCAACCTGACCAATTACTGTATTGTTCAAGGAGTTGAGCCCTGATGGCTATCAGGTCCCTGCTACTCAAAGTCTTACCCTGGAGAATCCTGTTAGAAGGCAGCGATAACAAACAAAACCAGATGGAGCTTCCCCTTTCCATATGTATCTCCTGTACTCTATGAGGTACAGGGAAAGTTGAGAGCTAAAGCATTTATTGGTTTCTCAGGATCACTGAGATCCTTCTTAAAGACATCTTCTGTAATGATCATTGATTTTTCTCACTCCATTTGAGACATCTTGAACAAAATCTGATTCCCTCTGGCACCTAAGTTTGGAAAGAAGTTTGTCCCAGAGTACATACAGAACTAACTGTAAAGCAAAGATGAGGAAACAAACAAACAAAGGAGGGGAATAAACAGCAGCTCTTAGCAGAGTCTGAGCAAAGCCTCTCTTCAGACCGTAAATTGCCTTTTGCTTTGGCTGTTGGGGTGACAAGATCTGTACAAGAATTGTATACAAGTCTGGAGTGCGGTTTAAAGTCAGCAGCATTTCTACTATGCATTAACTAAATGCTCATTTTCTGCCTTACAGTGAATTGCACAGATTTGCTGGCTTGTTGGTGCCAGCACATCAGACCCTGACTGAGCAGCTGAAGGGGGGACATGAAGCAGGCAAAATAAGTAGACTTGGACCTTGGAGCTTCAAAGTTAATATGTACAGTCTGTCCCTCACCTCTCAGTGGATTTTAAAATATAAAAGATATAATACAGTTGTCAACCAGATGGTTTTAACTTAACTGAACTACCTCTCATTACCACAGAAGGGTAAAGCCTGGGGATTGTTTCAGAGAGACTGAAATCTGATAAATCTGAAGATGATCAAAGAGTTTAGAGAGGGATGACGTAGCAAGGTGTAAAGAAAAGCTGGGAATTGCCCAATAACTGCAAAGAGTGAACAAAATGATTATACGCTGTGAGGCATCATGTGTAATCACTTCCGTTTTGAATCTAATCAAACATCATGTGCAAAGGGTGTCTCAGATCCTCCAGACTATCCGAGCAGCAGTATAAAAGCACACGCTGCTCACATCTCTCCCAACAGCTTCTCCTGACTTCTCCTCTGGGACTTGAGTAAGTTTTTAATTCTTTGTGCCTATTTTATATGTTGGTTTTTTTTTTTTAATGATACCTCTAACTGAATCCTACATAAATGTCTGCCATGGCACTAACAGGGCTAGCCTCTGTAAAAGCAGCTTCATTGATCCTGCAGAGAGCTTGGGGCTGGCATTATCCAGCTTCTTGAGGGACTACTGCAGTCCTTGCTAAGTGCTTCAAGGATTTGCAATTTTTAGCTCCTAAAGCTAGTATAGAAGTGAGCTGCAACCTCCTCTTGGCTTTAGTAGAAGGTGAAGCTCAGTTTTGAAGCCCTGTGTAACAGGTGGTCCTATAAATGCTGTCCTACAGGTTAACTACTGAGAAAAGGGGACTGGGTGAGATGGCCATTGGTCTCATGAAGTACAGAAATGTTTGTGCTCCTTTGCAAGAGAACACAACTGAAGCAAGCACTGCTCGCGATGTAGCCCTTTGGGATATGTTCTGGCACATTATGTATAGATATGTCAAAAGTGTAGGTTGTTTGATGTACATAGGAAGGTTAGGAAAAGTTGAGAATCTGGCAAGAACAGAAGATAAATGTAACTCAAGCAGTGTGACTAAAGGTGGAAAAGAGAGCCAGGAACGATGAAGCCACATCACCTCTGTTCAGGAAGCCACTTAAGTGGGTAGCTTCCTCATCAAATATGCTTGAGTGCCTGAACATAAATCTCTGACCTACCGTTGAATTGCTTTATACACAGTCTTCTGTCTTTCTGTGTTTCAGATCCACTTCCACCACAGAACAATGTCCTCCTACAGACAGCTGTGCAGCTACCAGTACTCCACACCATGCGAGGTGACCTGCCCACGGCCCATCGCCAACGCCTGGAACGAGCCCTGTGTCACATCATGCGGTGACTCCAGGGCGGTGGTCTACCCACCCCCTGTTGTCATCACTTTTCCTGGGCCAATTCTCAACTCCTGCCCTCAGGAAAGTGTAGTGGGATCCTCAGCACCAGCTGCCATTGGGAGCTCACTTGGCTATGGGGGATCTTATGGCTACAGAGGCTCTTTTGCTTATGGGGGATCCCAAGAAAGCAAGTTCTCATACCCTTATTGTTCTCAGAGGTTCAGTGGTTATCGCTCTAGAAGGTGGGAGCCCTGCCAAACCCAGCAGGAGTATACTTGCACCAAGAGCAGTCAGGATACTGAATGCAAGATCCAAACTCAAGAGTAAGACGGGTTTTTAAGATGCTGACATAGAAAGGCTGATTCTTGCTAACACTTTACATTGTATTCGTGCTCGTACCTGCTTATTTACTTCTCTTTCTTAGCCATAAATGTGTTCTTCTATTCTTCTCATGGTCCAAATTTTCAAAGGCATTACTACTTCTTCTACATTCAACTTAATAACTTTATACAAGAAGCATAACACAGAAGTTTGTATACTGTGATTTCTCCCACTTGACACTGCCTGATGTCAATCAAGACTTATGTTAATGGATGAAAACTGGACTGCATCGTCAAACTTACAGCTATGAAAGAAGAAAAGAACACTGTGCTTGAAATGAAGCTTCCTGAAACAAGAAACCTCATTTGTAAAAGCCTCAAATTCCTTATTTTCTGTATGATCATGTTTTGCTTTTGTAAACTTTCCTCCTCTATCACCCATTAAAAAAAAAATCATACTGCATCATAATTTTAGCATTCTGGCTTTGTTTTCTATCTGTTTTTATGAAATAATACAGTTGAGAGAATCTCCTGTGTAGAGTGTTGGTGTTTCCATCCTAGTTAAGCCCTGTAGTGAGAGGGGAGTAAAGACCTTAACCGATCAAAACCACCTCATTAGTCCTCTGCTCAGCAATGAGCTTTCCCATGTTGTATGCCTGCTTTAGACCTTCTACCAGACCAGTTTGCACTACTAGAAAATTACTGGAAACAGAAAACAGTACAAGGAATGGAAGAGAGACTTACCATTATTTTCATGCCCAGACACACGCACGCAGGAAGCATAACCAGATCCAGTAGGACACTTACTGGAAAGTAGCAGCTAGCCAAGCACGCCTGCCACAGCTTACAGCACAGGTAACATCCAGCTGTCTATAGAAAGATATAGCTGGCTATATCTTCATTGCATAGTCAATCCTCCCCATTTACTTGTACTTAAAACACTCTACAATAGCCCAGATCTAGAATTCCAGTGAGGTGCTAAGAAAAAAGGCTGGGTGCTATACAGTACTCTGCTAAATAGGGTTAATGTAACAGTGAGCAACAGCTGAGGTGCTATTTGGCTAATTGCTCTATTTACCTCAAAGCAATTTTTTATTGCTTCCAGCTGGTCCCTGAGCACTGCTGGATCACTGCTCCCTATTTAGTGAGAATTGTCTATACCTGCTTTCCCTCACTGCAGTCGTCTTCTGGTTATCTGAGTTGCTCTTTGAAATGTGACTCTGCTGACCTTCCTTAGGTTCCAATTTCTGCTTCCCTGTTTCTTAGGATTCCACCAGGAGGCTCCTTTACTTTGCACAGTAATAAGAAGTTAAGCTAGCAAAAGATATCTGCTCTTGGGCAGTTATGATCCTGGTTGAGGCAGTTTTATGACCTCAGAAAGCTAGATATGAAAGTACAGAGTAGGGAAGCGGATTCAAGTTTCCTGTATCTCAGTCTGGGGTTTCATCACTAGCTAATTTTCTGTCTCTGAGAAGGTCCCTCTGCTGCTGTGCGTTGTTTAATATCCTCTCTTTATTTCCCTATGTTATATAGAATTATAGTGCAATGTAATATTCCCTCTTTATTTCTTTATAGTATATGGAATTACAATAGTTCTAGTAAAAACCCACGGAAAGGCAGGGGAAGTAGGGATGAGCCATCAGAATACATTTGGAGTGGCTATTTAGTAGTTCACACTGGTCTTGAAAATTTTACCTAAGGGTTGGGCACCTTGTTTCACACCTGGTTCCTTGTAAAGATTAAATCAGGCACACAGGCAAGCTCTGCATGTTGTAAGCAGAGTTTCCCAATGAATGAATCCATAGGCATTATATAAACACTGTCTGTAAGAGCATAACACTCATCTACAGATCCCTAAGATAAGGGGATGGTTTGATTCAATTGGTTTGCAGAGGTTGCATTACCCCAAAACAGAGAAGAAAGCAAACAGATGAATGTTATTTGGATGCAATTATAAATGTTTATTGGGAGCAAAAAGTGTACATTTTAAGCAAAGCAAAGGAAAAATACAAGATGGACTTCAGTGATTTAAAAAAGGGCCAACTTAATAGTCTGCATCAAACTGATTTATTTTCAGCTCATTGTTCTTCTTTCTTGGTTCAAGTTTCAAACGGACTGGACAAATCAGAGTACAAGGTGACATCTATGGATCTTTCCTATTAGACATGGGTATCAAAATAAAAAACTACCAAAGAATGATAGCAGTGCTTTAATGCTCTAATAGTGAGAAACAGATTTCGCGTATTCAGTAATTTGGTTTCTAAGAATGGAAAAGACAAGTTTTGAGACAACTGACATTAACAGCAAATAGAGCATGAGAAGGGCAATCAGAAGAGCAGTTCCCATGGGTGCTGAGCAGCACCCATAGGCCCCAATGGATTAGCTGGGAGTTGTGGGTGCCCAAGGCTTTGGAGAGCTCCATAGCTCAGTTGCACGTCCAGGTCTTGCCGTCAATTCCCCCGCTGTTTCTCCTGCCATCCACACCTTCTGCCATGCTTAACATGGCCCACAGCCCCCATAGCGCTGGCTCCAGATCTGGCTGGAGGAGGAGGAGGAGGACAAGGAGCCCCCGTAGATAAGGGAGCCCTGCAGGCCCCTGGGGCGGCCCAGCCCCAGTGGGGACGAGCTGCCCACAAAGCTCTCCTGAGGGCAGGAGCTGAGGATGGGGCCTGGGAAGGTGATGACCACAGGCGGTGGGTAGACCACAGCGCGGGAGTCCCCGCAGGAGGTGACGCAGGGCTCGTTCCAGGCGTTGGTGAAGGGCTGCGGGCAGATCATCTCACAGGGTGGGTAGCAGCGGGAGCTGAGCTGCTGGCTGGAGGAGGACATCCTTTGGGCAGGGAGGTGAACCTGCAACACACCAGGGAGCCTGAGTCAACCCACTGCTCACGAGCCACCCTGCAGACCACTCTGCTCTGCCTTGCCAGCAGCAGGGAGGGCTCAGGATGTGCCATATGGAGTTGCTCTGCTAAGGCTTGGGTGTTTTTTCTCTCTTTCTCTTCCCCCTTCCCTGTCCTCCTTCCTCCCTCCCAGGCAGCTCCTCTGCACTCTCCCAGGCTCTCTGCATGCTGAGTGCTGCCCAAGCTGGCCACCCCCAAAGTGACCTGTGGCAAACAAGCTGGAGATCACCCGTCATCAGGTTTTGCAGCAAAACCCACTACATCTACCAAAGCCTGCAAAAGTAGTGCGATTTCAAGGAAAAAAAGGCATAAGCAAGACAAGCAGAGTGTTTCGGAAACATTCAGTTAAACCTACTCAAGCGCGATGCTTAAAGTTGGAAAGATTAAGTAGGGTCAAACTTACCCAAGACACCAAAGACGAGAAGTGAAGAGCAGTCGTCTGAGGCTACCTGTGCTGTGAGCCCTTTTTATACCGTTTCTTGGGCTGCCCACTGGTCTATGACACCTCGTGAACAAGATCTTAATTAGCTCCCAAACACACAGATTACACATCACTCCTCAATTCCTCATTCATGCAAATAGTTTCCTCACTGCTAGCAAGTATTACTCAGCCCAGGTTTTCCTCAGTGTCTCCCAGGTTCTTCCTTCTTAGAAATCACTCAGCTGACTTCCCCAGATTGGCAGCATGTCTATTTATTTTTTTTTTTCTTACAGATACTGAAGCTTCTGTTTCTGAAGTGGTTTTCATACTCTATGTTCATTACAATGTTTTAACTCCAGATATATTGTTACCTTCATGGGGTCCGTTATTAAATTTTCTCCAGGATTATCAAGAAATATGTAAGACTTTTGACCCTTTCCTGTGTGTCCTGGTGCAGGTCAGTGTTGAGACACTGAATCACTGAGGACACTGCAAACGCCCAAGCAAGGTGTGGCATTGCAAACATCTCCCGCAGGAGTCAGGAGCTTTGTGTTCAGCTCCCTCTGCTTTCAGTCACGGCCCCTGGGGTCTGCTCTTCCAGTAGGGTCTCTCCTTGGGGACAAAAGAAAGCACACGGGACCAGACCCCAACCTTGAGTGTCCCGTAACGTAGGATAAAGCATCCTGCCCCCCTGTGTGACTTTAAAGGATTGTCTTGCTCTATTCCATTCACATCCAAGTAAAAAAACAAAACAAAACAAAAACCAAAAAAACCCACCTCACTGTTTTAATAGTTATTGAAGGATTTTCCTCACATCAGACACAGAGTCATAATATCGCTGCAGCCAGCAGGATATGCTAGCCTGCATAAATTGGGGCCGTGGTGCACAGGCTTCGGGGGGACACAGGAGGGAATACGTTGTGGTTTTCTGTTCAGAGACAAAAGAAAATACAGAAGATCTGCAAGAGTTCACAAAACAAATCACCTCTATGCTTTAGTGTGCTGTAGCAGACCTGCAGTGTGTAGCTGGGATGAGGAACAAGGCCGTTGGAGTAAAACTTCCATCTTTATTCTAAGTATAAACGCTACAGTGCTTCAGCTCAATATCAGCAGGGATTTAGAGAAGAAAATCAGCCCACAGTGCATTGCACTACTTGTGATACCGAGGAGTGCTTGAAAAATACTGGCTATGTGGAGCGATTGCATAAATAAGGTAGTTTTCAAAAATTTTGTCACATTGGTAAAATCAGCAAAATGCTGCAGGAAGTGAAACTGCTTCAGAAAGTTTAAGGAAGAAACAAGAGGGTGTTGGACGAAACTGATAATTGTCCAAAGATGAATAAAACAATCATAGAAGCCTAGGGAGTTACATGCATTGTTGTGTTTTGTAACAAAATAAACCTGAAACACAAAGGATGTCTCAACCCCCCCAGGCAATCCAGGAGATGGTATATAAGAGCTTCTGGCTAAGAAGTCCTCAAATCACGGGTCATTGCTTCTCGTCTTGATCCAAGTAAGTCTGATCCCTTCATTAT